GTACTAATGGAAAAATATTAATAAATGAAAAAAACACACCCATTTCAGATTATTCCACCATAACAGTTAACATGTAAGCAACTGTTTTACCACCATGAGAATGTTAAATACTCTTTTTTCCCCTAGAATTGAACTTTGGTGATTTTGCTAAGCTCATCTATCTTTACTAAAGATGAAACTTTTCAACTCTTTATTAAAGTTCTTCTCAAGAAGAACAGGGCAATGGAAATGTTTTCCCAACCCTATCATATTAAAAGAAAAAAAGTACATGTTGAAGGAAAATAAAAAGCTAATCACACAGGTATATATTTAAGATCAGCTTGAATGAATGAACACACTTCAGAATCAGTGACTCACTTTGAACTCCATGGGAGCGGATGATTTTCCAGGTTTCTGACGCCACTTCTTTGACATCCACTTGATAGTGATGGATAGGCACACCCCCATGGGAATCCGGCTTGTTGAAGGAAATCTTGGCTGTGGTCTGTGACAGCTCTATAATCTTCACTCCATAGGGGCTGGATGGCACATCTACAAAGGGACAAAAGGAAAGAAATATGACCCAGGTGATGTAGATGGCCATTAAGACACAGTATTCTGAGAATTAGAAATAAAGGAACATCACTGCCTATACACTGAATATATTTGAGTTACAAAGCTTGCATAAACAATCTCTTTAAATTGCAAGACAGTATATGCTAGTCAATCTTTATTACCATAGCAAATCAATAGTAAAACATCCAATGTCAAAGTTCTTTTATTGAGGGAATAATTTCACTTCTGCCTTTTCTATACAATATATGTGTTTTATTTACATTCAAGGAAAACAAGCTAGTGAGAGAGAGGGGTGAGAGGGAATGCAGGTATAATTAAAACAATAAGAAATAAAGTTTTAATTGAATCATTAGCACAAATAATTACCTCGTGAAAATGTGTGATTTGTGTTCTTTTTGTTCATTAAAATTTTATTAATAATTTTGGGGCAAGTGTTTAGAGAAAATGTCATTATGAACTAAATGAAACTATAAACTATTGTTTTAATTTCTGTCTTTTTTTTCAATTAAAGTTTACTTGGGTGACAATTGTTAGTAAAGTTACACAGGATTCAGGTGTACAACTCTGTAATACATCATCTATAGATCACATTGTGTGTTCACCACCCAGAGTTCGTTCTCCTTCCATTACCATATATTGGGTTGTTGGAAAAGTCATGACTTATTTTTTTCTGTTTTTTGTTGCAAAAATGCGTCATGACTTTTCTGACAACCCAATGTTTGATCCCTTTACCCTCGTCTACCATCCCCTCTGTTTTAATTTCATTTATGTATTATTTAATGATAATTAGTTAGATATCTAGGTTTTAATCCCTGTATTTAAGAAACAACTATAGGACCGGCCAAGTGGC